TTAAAACAGGTGAAACTGTTTGCTTTTCTCTGCATGTGAAGAAAAGCATGCAAGGAAGGTTTTATTGCTGTAATTAACATTGGTGAGTATTGTCAGAATTATCCACTTCTTTTGAAATCAGCAAGTCATGCTGGTGTTGGGGACGGAGAGAACTTAAGATGCTGATGTTCTTGATATGTGCTGCCCAATTCCAGTCCCTATGCCAGTAGAGTATGTGGGCATTCTGCATGATATGTTGTGAGAGGGACTTAACTGCCATCCTAAATTGCTTCAGAATGGCATTAGGATTGTAAACTGGATCTTCCAATAAGTCATTGGCAGGGGGTTTACTTGCCTGGCTTAAAACTGTAGTTTACAGGCTGGCCTAAACTGATCAGGAGATTTTTAGGTCCCTTGGGTTCTTCATACCTCTGAGAACCATTAAAAAAGGTAAAGGTAAAGGTTTCCTTGCTCGAAAGCCAGTCGAATCCGACTCTAGGGTTGTGGTGCTCATCTCCATTTCAAAGCCGAAGAGCCAGCGCTGTCCGAAGACGTTTCTGTGGTCATGTGGCCGGCATGACTAAACACCAAGGTGCACGGAACGCTGTTACCTTCCCACTGAAGTGGTACCTATTTATCTACTTGCAATTTCTTGCTTTCGAACTGCTAGGTTGGCAGGAGCTGAAACTAGAGACGGGAGCTCACTCTGTCATGCGGCACACTCGGGTCTCGAACTGCTGAAATACCGACCTTCCACAGCCTGCAGTTCAACGCCTTAATCACTTGAGCCACCGTAGCTCCTTGAGAACCGTTAACGTTGGTGTAAAAGCTTGCTTTCAGGGCTGTTGGTTTTTACATAGGTTTTTTTAGTTTTATCATGTTTAGATTTATTTTGCTTTGTCATTTTATCCTAAAGGGACAATTTCAAATTTTGTGTTTTTCATTCTTCCTAAAATGCCAATTTGAAAATTGGTGGGTGCATGGGGGGGGGGCAGAAGGTAGCCTCGGCTAGTGTGCAAAAAAACCTGGAGCTGGCCCTGCTAGCAGAGTAATTGCAACCCCACTGAGAGTGATGAAGCTTTTGGCCTGGAGCAGTGACTTTGTATCTGGAGAATTACAGCCAGTTTGAGACTATGGTGGTTTATTTTTCCTTATTGTTTTCAAATGGCTTCAGATGTGTGTTTACCTCTGAAGCTGGGGATTCTAGTATGTGGGTACTCAGGCTTTCCTTCATTTTTTCTCTCCTTAGTTGGGATCGAGGAACAAACCATCTCTTGTTCAACATGTTGCCTGGAGGACCACCTGACTATAATACAGCGCTAGATGTTCCAAGGGATAGGTAGGCAATTCACTCTTTCTGCTTTTGGGGCTTTTCATATGTAGTATGAATGGAAATATAAAGATTTTTTCCTTTCTGATTATTCGTATTTTTCTGGTTTTATGGATTTTTCTCCTAAGTAAGGTTTTATTTTATTAGGATGTGATGAAGGCCTACTAAATAGTAGGACTTTCTCTTGTAGGTTAGATTATTTTTCTAGCTGATGCTAGCAGACAAGAAAACAACATACTTTTGGTGTAGAAGATAGGTATAGAGTTCATAGTCTTTAGTTGTTTAGGGTAAAACTTTGCAGTGTCTGGGTCAAAAAGGATTTTAGCTTTGTATCAGAAAAAAACACCTTTGTTTGGGTATGAAGAATCCTTGGCCAATATTATTCAGGTTAGGTTAAGTAAACATTTTATTATTTATTTATTGCTTTTATATTACACACTACATAGAAACGGGGTGGGTAAACACTAAGACTACAGGTGATAGGACAGCATTACTAAAAGAAAGACTAACAGGAGTTATATATATTGCTGGTAATAAACGCTTATTCGGGTTTCTCATATTAAGTCATATATGAGTAAAGTTTCTTTTCAGTTTATAACAGTAAGTAAAAGCTTAAAATATAAGAATTTGCTCTGAGCAAGTAAGCAAGATAATTATCTCTTCAAGTGCTTATGTCTCAGTTACATTCTCTTCTTGTTTCTTCTTCCCTTCTTTTTATCTTTATCAAAGTCAGTTTTGCCTTTGGGTAATTTGGGTGCAGCTGCTCCCAATTCTGATGAGGAATCTTCTTCAGATGAACTGGTTGTATCCAATTCTGAACTTCTTGAGCCATGCGAGCTGTATTCTCCTTCTTCTTGATGACTCTTTTCTTTTGCTGTTATTTCCTTTGGTAGTCCTTGAACTTTCTCCAAAAATCTTTTTGCTTTATCAACAGAGTCAATCTTTTCTTTTAAATCCTTGTACTTGAATGTTAACCCTTCCGGTAGAAGCCATCTGTAGCTTATTGATTTCTTTTGTAGAAATGTTATTAAATCTTTGTAATATCTTCGCTTCTTTCTGATTTCAAATGGTACATCCTTTAGAACTCTTATTTCCGACTCTTTAATCTTCAAGATGTTTCCATTGGTAGCTTTGAGAACTGCGTCTCTTGTAGACCTTTTTGAGAATCTGACTATAATTTCCCCAGGCAAGTTTCTCTTCTTTATGTATTTGGGGTATGATCTATAGACCACATCCAGATCGCTTTGTAACTCTTCATGTTTCATACCTGTCATTGGGGCTAATGCTTGAGTCAAGATTTCTTTGAGATTCTCACCGCTTTGTTCTGGAACATCTTGAAACCTCAGCACATAGGCTGATTTTTCTGCTTGAAGCCTAAGGATTTGTTCTTTATCAGAAGTTCTTTCTTTTTGTAATCGGTCCACTTTTTGATCAAGTACAGATGTTTTAAAAACAACCTTTTTGACTGCACTACCATCTGTTTTTGGAGTGTTTCAAAATTTTGTTTGAGATTCGTCATTTGGTCCAGTAGGGGTCGCAGTGCTACAGCTAACGTTGCTGAAAAGTCTATACTGGCTTCCGGTTTCGCTCCCCGAGATGGCGTTTTGCTAGCACCTGAAGGAAGCTTCCTCAGTGCCATTTTTTCCTGTCGACTCATTGTTTTCTTTTCCCAGGAAGTTTGTAAAAGTTCTTAAGAGGGATTATCGTTGTTTGCTTTGTGTGGCAATGCACTTGCTCATTCAAATAACGTTTTTCCAGACTCTTTTCCCCATTCCAGTAAGGCTTTAAATTAAAGTTTAGTTTTTGTTGGGGGGGGTATATTGCTCCCTTCCCTATTGCTGGTGTGTGTGTGGGGGGTATGATCTATAGACCACATCCAGATCGCTTTGTAACTCTTCATGTTTCATACCTGTCATTGGGGCTAATGCTTGAGTCAAAATTTCTTTGAGATTCTCACCGCTTTGTTCTGGAACATCTTGAAACCTCAGCACATAGGCTGATTTTTCTGCTTGAAGCCTAAGGATTTGTTCTTTATCAGAAGTTCTTTCTTTTTGTAATCGGTCCACTTTTTGATCAAGTACAGATGTTTTAAAAACAACCTTTTTGACTGGGGGCCCCAGGGGGGAACCGGCACAGCTGGATCCCCTCCTAGCCGCTGTGGAACAGGCTGCACCGTACAGAGCACGCCAGTGCGTGCCTGCTAGGCAAGGAGCCAAAACTGGAAACTCTACATTTTAAGATATTACGTAGGCATACCTTTCTTCATATTTGACCAATGAGTGGACTATTACTCAAATGATGCACTGTCCTTTTGAATGTTATCTTCATGACTATGTCATTTCAAGTATAAAATTTCATGTACTTCCTGATTGTATCTGTCCAAGAGAGATATCCGGAACTGCTGAATCCCTGTGCAATTCCTGTATTTTTGAGTGTTCGAAATACTAGGAGGACACTTAATCCCCTTGTGACATTTTGGAGACATTGCTTCCAATGGAATATGCTTGCTTCATTTGTGTTACTTGCTGTCTACTTTAAAAAAAAGATTGCATGAGTTTTTATATAAGAAACTGTGCAGGGGCTGGGATTGTGTCAGTATAAGAAATGAAAAGCACTGAAGCATGTGTTCCCTTCCATCTTCACTTGCCGGTAGACACAGGCTTAGATCCACACTAGCATTTCTGTTGGGCCAAGTCCTTGAGCCCACAGAATGTGATTTTCCTACCTCCTGTGGCATACTGATAACACTCCCCAAAACCCTATTTCTGGGTGAGGGGGTGTTGCAATCCCACAACTCCACGGCCCTACCTGTCTTGTTTTTCCAGGCTGTAAGCATCCAGTGAGGTTGGGGATTCATTGTGCATATGGGGGTGCTTGAACCTGCTTATAGGGAATCCTAGCCTCCTTCCTTTCTAACTTTTGGATAGCCTACCACAAGTTTTTGGAGAGGAAACAGAAATTTTGGGAAAAATTGAAATATATGCAATACTTGCTATCCTATCAAACCTAAAGTAACGTTACTGCTTTAACAACATAAAATGCATAATTTATAACTTGAGCATATAAAATTACAATATTGGACATATTTATGGAATTTAAAACTTATAAATGCTTTCCTTTCTTAGAAGTAAAATTGCAAATATACCCAATAGTTGAAAGAAAACTGCAAGCTAATGCACCCAATTCTATCTTAGCACATGTATCTTAATTTTTGCTGTCTGGTTAGAGAGAGCTATTTTCCCAATGAAACTTTCAGTTTTCCTCTTAGGCTTTGGTGCAGTTTCTCAATGAAACTTTGTTTTCCTCTTATGCTTTGGTGCAGTTATCTGTGACCAAATGGAGCTACGGCAGAGCTATATAAATATTATTTCTCTGCTAAAAGCATGTGTCACAGTGATTTGAGGAAGAGATGAAAAGGTTAACCATGTCAGGTCAAAAGGACAACAGAAGACATACAAGTATTGAGAAGCAATGAAAGCCCCTCATGAAGATTAAGTATTTCTAGGTGCAGAAATACATCTTAGATTTAAGAGCTGTTTATGTCTACAGCATGCCTCACTTGTCTTTAAAAGCATTTCACTCATTCAAAACGAGAAAATATTTCACAGGAGTTTTTTTCAGTACCCCCCCCCTTTCCAAAAAAAAAAAAGGGCCTCAGGGGGGGAAAAGTACCGATTTTCACATCTCTGGGTATTACAGAAAAGTAAGAAATAAAAGGCAAAAGGGATTCTGGCTAAACTACACCAGTAACTGAGCTACCTTGGCATTACTGTCAGAGAAATGGACCCAAGCCCACAGGAACACTGAAACAAATGCTGATTTCTGCATTACTGCAGACTTCATCTCTGTTCCTTCCTGTCTCTGTTGGACTTGGTGCACTTCCACTGACCCAGCTGAACATTTAACCCCTGACTTCCCAGCTGGGAAGGATTCTGTGGGACCAGTCCTGTATGGGAAGGGGACTGTTTTACCCATTTCCCACTAAGCTGCCTTTGACCAATCATATCTTGTCTTACAGTGTTGGATTTTAGGGCTTCTTTTTGTCCCGCCGCGGGTTCCTCCGCGGCCTTACTGGCGCTACTCGCGCCGAGCTCTATGCAAATCCCAGGGAAGAACGGTGGTCTCATAAGCACTCGAGACCCCAAACCCCTCCCGCAACGCCCACAACGGGGCTGGAGGAATCCGGAAGAGAAGGGATTGGGGGAACGGACTGGCACGGACCGCGTTCAAATGCTGACCGATATTCTGTGACCAGCATGTATGTATGCATGAATAGCAATAATTTCAGGTGACTGAATGGTACATGATCTAGTTGTTCAAAGCAGAATGATAAGCCATTTATAACAAAAAAGGGGAACTGACTAAAATATGCAAGGAGGATTATACTTGCCCACATGTTAAAAATGAACGACTATGTCTTAAAGCAACAGTTATCTGTGACCAAGTGGAGCTACGACAGAGCTATATAAATATTATTTCTCTGCTGCTATTACTTAAACCACCTGATTTGTACAGCGGGACTTAGGCTTGATGTCCACAGCATAAAGGAACAGATGAGATCTGAACAAGAAAACTGATGGACAATTTGTCTAGAACAAAGAGGGGACATCGGCTGAAAACCAGAGAGGAAGAGCAAACCAAGGGGGAGCTGACCATTTAAAGACTGGCTTACACTTGGAAAGCAAAGAGTTAACTTCTTGGTTATTGCATTGCAAAGTGAAAATCCACACTAAGGTATTTAACTGGGTGTTGGTTCCCTGTGGATTTTGTTAGGGAGATGCACACCTGTTTTCCTGAGGCTAATGAAGTGTTTTTACATTGCTTACCAGATCCAATTAAAACAATCTGGTGACTATTTTCTAATTAGGGGTGGGGGAGTAAGGTGTAAAAGTGCAGAAGATGCAACACATGAGCCAATTTCACTTTTGTGCCCTTTTCTTGTTCCACACCTCTGAGTTAATTTGACTGAGATTTAGAACATGAGGCTTGATTTGATTTGATTTATTAAATTTCTACCCCGCCCTTCCAGCCAAGGATCACAGCAGCATTCTAAAAGCTGGCAGCAGCATAGAAAATGAATGGGAGAGAGTGCGCAGTCACCACTTTGGGTTTTAGGTCTTAAAACTCAACACTTCTATCATCCAGTGCCTTAGCAGCTTCTCTTGCTATTAAAGCAATAGTTATCCTGGTCCAGTGCATTTGTTTTGTTTCTCCTTTTCTCCTTTGCTTGCAGCACCTTTCATGTGAAATTCTTAAAGCATTGTGCAGCCTTCACATCATATGCATTGTGCCTCCATTTCAGAGTTCAACAGTTAGATTTCCCAAGTTTCTATGCTCAGAATAAATCATGCAAACAACACTTATGTAAGCTTGCCTATTCTGATGGGAACCAAATGTGTTTCTTCCCCTAATATGAATATTTTTTTGGCTGTGGAGGAAATATATGGATGAGGGAGAGGTACATAAGTATGGGCACTTGACTTTGGGCCATGAGGAAGGGGAAAAGTAAGCAAATGAGGCACTAAATCTTGAGACATTAAATCTTCTTATTACTGAAACTCTTTTTCTAACATAGTTGGAAGTTTTATTGTCTTAGCTATGAAAGCTAGGGGATTGATTCTTTATTAAAAGCTCATCTTTTAATGCATGTTTTTAGAAATCTCAGATAAGAACATAAGAAGAGCCCTGCTGAATCAGACCCAGTGGTCCATCTAGTACAGCATCCTGTCTCACACAGTGGCCAACCAGTTCCTCTGGAGGTCAGACTACAGGGCATAAAGACTGAGGCCTTCCCTTGATGTTACCTCCTGGCACTCATTCACGGGTCGACTGCCACTGAACGTGGAGGTTCTCTTTAGTCACCATGGCTGGTAGCCACTAATCCTTTGACCATCCTCTGGCAGTGAATTCCACATTTTAATTGCTCCCTGTGTTAAGAAGTATTTCCTCTTATCCTTCCTGAATCTACTGCCCATCAGCTTTATTGAATACCTTCAGGTTCTAGTATTTTGGGAGAGGGAGAATAATTTCTCTTTGTCATCTCTCTCCAGACTGTGCGTAATTTTATAAACCTTGTCATCTCCCCCCCTTAGTCTCTTTTCTAGATGGAAAAGTCTCAAGACACCTCATAGGAAAGGTGCTCCAACCCCCTAATCACCTTGGTTGCCCTCTGTACTTTTTCCACCTCTGCAATGTCCTTTTGAAGATATGGTGACCAGAACTGCATACAAACAGTATTCTAGTTTGCCAAGTACCTTTGGGATACATCTGATAAAGTATTGCAGGACCCACTGCAATAACTGGACCTCTCTACCTGAGGTCTCCCTGAACCTGCTATCTGTACCCTTCTTTCAGTCTGGATGTACATACTGGCTTGATGATGATATTGTGCTCTGTCAGATATATCTTTCCTTTCCCCAAGGGTGGAGTGAAGTTCCCAAGGCTTGCTCCCCTCTCGTACTGGCTTTCAGAATGTTTGTACAAATAAATTGTCTTCATATCAACATACGCATAATTCTCTGCAGACAAAACTTCTCATTATCTGAATGTTTTGAATTAACTGACATTTGGAGAAAAGTGATCATAACTGATTTTTGTTTGTTCTTAGAGCTCTGTTGGCTGGTGGAGGTTTTTCTACATGGACCTATCGACAAGGATATGATGTCAGCATTCCTGTTTTCAGTCCATTGTCTTCAGAGGTGCAGTTGCCAAATAAAGGTCCAGGGTAAGCTGAGGGTGAAAGAATATGGGACTGCATATCTGCATTTTTGAGGGGCTGTGATTGAACAGGGTGGTGACAGGCTTGCTTAGCTTGCAGAAGGTCCCAGGTTCAGTCTTTGTTATCTTCAGTAAAAGTATCTCTGGTAGTGGTTGCTGGGAAAGTTCTTGGAAAGTCACTCCCAGAGTAAACAGTATTGAACTAGATGGACCAATGAGTGTGATTCAGTACAAGGATATAGTGCCGTAGAACAGTGAAACTTACATGGTAACATTTTCACTGATAATAGTGTTCTTGTAATTGTTGAGAAGTGGATGAAGTGGATGTGACTTCATCTTAAAACATTATTTGTTAACTTCACATGCTATCCTGTAGTTGTGGTAGAAAATCCAAGTATTTACTAAATTTATAAAACAAGTTTCTGTCTGCTGTTCTTCCTGTGCAATAAAACTATGCCTGTATGCCTCTGCTTTCAATTGGCTTCAGCTAGTAGATGTTAATCCTTACTGCTGTAGAAAAAGGCAGAACATAAAATGTTGGTTCTCCTACAGCCAGCTGATTGAACAGGATTCCTATGCCTGACCTGTGTCTGGGTTTTATAATAGTTCATTCCAAAGCAAAGCATCCTTACCTACAATGAGAGGGGACGGAAACACAATAAAATATTAGGACACATTCCTTGACTTACTTGCTGACAAGCTGGATTCCTTTTCACCATTTCACTGTGGTGCTCCTTCCTTACTCTGTCTTATGGACTCTCACCTCTGTTGCTGATTTCCCCTTCTCCCATAGCAGTGAGCAGTTCTGCCTTAGCCATGTTCCCCTCTGACCTTTTTTTCACTTCAGGAAAGAAAGAAAATGGATTGATTATGATATACTGATAGGGTAGGCATTTCACTGATCGCTAGTGAACTGGGTCCTGTCCACTGCAGCACTGCTACTTCATTATGTAGCTGCATAGATGTCTGTTCTAGTAAAGGCTAATGTGTACATTCAGTTGAGGGGGGTTGCTTTCTAGTTAGGGCCAACTGAGCACAACTCCATAGGGAGACCTGCTTTATGGGAGCCAAGTGGATAGAGAAAAGGAGGAATGCTACAGTTGTCTCTTGAATCCACAAATACTGTGTGTTTCTAGTTCTGCCTTGTTTCTTAGTTCTCTGCAGTAACTAGTCTTTCTTTCCAGTTGGATCTAAATGTTCAATGCCTGAGTGGTGCAAGTCTTCACATGTATATTAAGGAGCACCTCTGTAGAGCTTATTACAGGTTGACCAACTATAAATCCTCTTGATGTGTGTATTTCTCAGTTATTTAAGGCAAATTTAGAACAGATGTATGTGCAAACTTTCAGGAGTGCTGGCTTGGATCCAGTGGTAATTTCTGCTGACAGAAGGGATCCAACCCAGGCCTTGTTATATTTATGTTTTTATACTGCTATGGATTAATGTGACCTATTTGAAGATGTTGATGATACTTACCTTATATGCATGAGTTTTGCATAGACGTATCACAGATTTGTCTTCATGGATTTCATTGGTTTTTGACCCTATTGCTTACCTACTTTAAAAAAAAATGATGTCCTTGTGTGGATTTGCCAACTGATGGCATGTTTTTAGATGTAATGAAATAGACTAATGCATGAAAGCTCATTCTACAACTCTGTTAGTCTTTTAATTGCGAATAAAACATGTTTTCCTGAAACAGACAAACACAACTACCCCGCTGTAATTTCATACTGCTGTTAACAGCAATCCAGTGTTAGAATGGTTTTTGAGTTGGTTTAATAAACAGCAAGCTGTTGATGATATACCATAGTAGTAGAGTGCCATCTACTGGCTTGCTTTTGTTATTTGAAAAACTCTTTTGTTTGCTTATTTAAGCCAATCTATTGCCAAAATCTCAGGACAGGTTATATTAAGGATTGTCTACTCTGAAGTCTGTGTTGTGAATGGGACAAATAATATTAAAATTCTGTTTGGCTTGTGTTCTTTTAAGTATTCATCTTTGTGTTCGAAGTTGATCACATCTTTTAGTCATGGACAGTGGTGAATTGTGTGTGTTTTTAAAAAAATCAGTGGCTTCAATTATGTGCCACATTGGCATTTCTGGCATTTATCTGCCCCTGTGTTGATGTGTGGTATAGCTCTTACGCCTTTTGGAAAGCCAAGATGAGATCTTAATTTCCGTTTTATTAGCTTTACGCAGTTATAGAATCAGTGATACCAGTAACAGATATGCAAGGAAAACTTCTAAAAAGAAGTCCTTAAAAATATAAATCTCCATGTATATCTTGTACCTGGTTCATTCCTTCGTGGGCTTTACTCTAGAGGGGCCTCCAAGCTCAGAGTGGGGCACTTCAGTGATGGGTGTTGCTGCTGCTGGGAGGGGAGAACTAAAAGCCCCCATATGTGAGCAAAAACCACACAAAGAGCTTTGAATCTCAGCCTTTTTTTGATGCTGTTAGGATGCCACACTATGCATAAGAAGATGAGAGAGGATAGTGATGGTGATTATTAATATAATGATGTGCTGGATCCAAAGAGTGCTTTTCTGTTGGCAAAAGTTGTGGCCCATGATTTTCCCTTTCTCCCCATCTGAGGTGCCAGCCTCCTGCTCTGTGTCCCGTGCAGTTCCTGAGGGTTTGCAGTGGGACGGGAAGGCAAGAAAGCTTTACTCTGTTCATTGTTCACTTTATATGTAGAATATATTTCAGGTTATTTTTAATGAAATTATTGGGAATGATATTCTTTAAAGCTGTAGGTGTGCTCTTGATTGTACCTCCCACACATTGGAAGACATGGATAGTATAAAGGTTATCTAGCTCAACTCCTTATGTGAAGGACCCAAAGTGTAGTGTTAGAGCACATGCTTTTCATGCAGGTTCAGCCTTGCACAGCTCCAGAGGTAGTAGGTCTGGGAAAGATGTCTGCTTGGGACCTTGTAGAACCATATCCACTCCGAGTAGAGACTACTGGGCACAGTGAACCAGCTGTCTGACTTGGTGTAAGTCGATTTCATACACTGAAGAGCTGGACTATCCACCCGCAGACCTTCCTGACCAATGTTCCCTCTAAACTGTGGAGTCTTGTGAGCAAAAATTCTTCTTTGTGAGCTACTGTCATTAAAGTTGTGAGCGAGCGATTTGGTTACCGCATAGATTAGTTTGCTCTGGAACCACCCTTCCTGAGCGAAGACAAAAATGTGTGAGCCAGAGGCTAAAAAACTGTGAGCTAGCTCACACGAACTCAGCTTAGAGGGAACACTGTTCCTGACCCTAAATAAGGTGAGCAGCTGAACTCTGTAAGACAACCATGTAACTTCAGAATACTGCTGTGTAACTTAAGCGGCGGCATTGCTTTTGAAGCTTTGAAAACCTCACTGAAATCAGAGGCTGAATTTTCCTTTTGTATGCTATTCACATACATCATGTAACATCCTTGTCACCAATCTTTGCTTGTGCTTTGGTACAGTTTGCTTTTTTGTGTACTGGAAGCAACATTGTGTTGCATAGGAATGTAGGATTTGGGGGAGTTGACTGCGTATCTGCTATATTAGTCCAGCGTTGTCCATCAAAAAGGAACACAACTTATGCTATCAAAAAGGAACACAACTTATCCCAGTGAGGCAATCATGTAGGAGTTTAGCTTATGAAAAAAGAAGTCCTTTTCAGTAAGATGCAAGGATTATTTGTAAAATGTGTGCCATTCCAGTGCTTTCCAGTCCCAATTTTAAAGACTGTCTTTTCAATATTTATTGGGAAGTGTACCATTTATTTTAGTGGCACTTACTTCAGATAAGGAGGCATAATGTTGCAGCCGCGTTTGCACTTACTTGGAAGCAAATCCCACTGAATTCAATGGAACTGACTCCTGGCTACACATGTGAAGTATCAGGCTTGTCTTACCTATACCTATTTAGGTTTCAAACACATTAATCTCTGGGGTAGACACCGTGCAGACTGCTATGTTTCTCATTTACCTGCTAGTAAGTACTGCGGTGGCTCAAGTGGTTAAGATGCTGAACTGCAGGCTATGGAAGGTCGATAGTTCAGCAGTTCGAGACCCGGGTGCAGCATCACGGAGTGAGCTCCCGTCTCTAGTTCCAGCTCCTGCCAACCTAGTAGTTCGAAAGCAAGAAATTGCAAGTAGATAAATAGGTACCACTTTGGTGGGAAAGTAACAGCATTCCGTGCGCCTTGGTGTTTAGTCATGCCGGCCACATGACCACGGAAACGTCTTCGGTCAGCGCTGGCTCTTCGGCTTTGAAACGGAGATGAGCACTGCAACCCTAGAGTCGGATTCGACTGGCTTTTGAGCAAGGGAACCTTTACCTTTACCTTTTTAAGTATGCTAGTTGATCACACAGCTTATTTCTGAATTCCTGCAGGGGTCTTGTACTGTGTATGATACATAATTGTTTCCACTATCATCAATTGCTAACATCCCAAAATGTTGAGGGATGGGAAAAAATGCGTAGCACTGCACTTGTGAGCTTAGCAAACACTAGTTCTGCGGTAGCCTAAAGTGGAACCACTTTAATGTTATTTAATGAGGACTTAGTTGGATGTGTCCATTTATCACTATGGTACTTTTCAGTCCTCGCAGGTACTTCCTTCTGTCCTCTCAAATGGCTCTTCATCCTGAATATCATTCTGAATTGGAGGCTCTTCAATCTGAGAATATGGAATCTGTGTTGATCCTGGATAAATGTACCAATCTCTCAGAGGGCATCCCTTTTATTCATAAACGATGCTACAAGAATCAGGTTTTTGATTATCCTCATGTACTTCAGGTAAGTTGTCTAGTTCGTGTGTCCACACAGGAAAAAGTCCAATGTATATGTTATACATTATACCATAAATTGTATTCTACAGTTTGTAAATGCTGTAATTTGAGAACTATATTTGCTATCAATTCCAGGATTGTCTTTGGTGCGGTGCCATGCATTACCACCTAACTTGCAAAGCAAATATATATCATCTCATGTTTGAAATATATGTGTTTCTGGAAGGCAGAATCCACCCTTCCTGCAAAAAATAAAAAATAACTCAGGATGACACTGAGGAAGTTACCTTACTGCACTTTCACACCAACCCAGTTGGGTAGAATCCATGGGAGAAACATGGCTTTACAAAAGCAGTCTTCATGATAGAGTGAGAATCTAAACCTGAGTTTCCCACATACAAGGCAACAGTAGTGACTGCTGTGTTACTCTGACTTTCATGACTCAAGGCTAATGGCTACACAGATTGGCTGACTGTCTGAAACATTCTCAAAGGATGCTCTCAGTGTCTCCCACTGTCATCATTATAGTGTTTGATCTGTAAAGGGCAAGAGTTTCATATAGCTTCTCTCCTGAACTTGATCTTCAGCCTTATGTGCTTTCCAGGTGGGGAGCTGGTTGGGTTTTTAGCAAGCAGGTGATGGGTTAGCTGGTTTCAGGTGAACAAAACTAGCAGGAAGTCAGATAGCCTAGGGGAGTAACTTGTGCTAGGTATGGTTTGATGAAAGACTATGCAGGAATCAGGACCAGGAGCTTGCGCTAAGGTGAGGAAGGAAGTGCTAGGCACAACAGATTAGTCCTAGTGGGAACTTGTAATAAAAGGCAAAAGCTTTATCTTTAAAATAAAGGATACTTATTGAAGTTTTAGCCTCACTAAGTACACTTGCATAGTTCTAGTCACCAGTTTGGATCCACCAAAACATTTCTAAATGTGCTTAGAGCCCTTGTGCAAGCAAATGTTTTGAAAAAACTCTCATTGTTAGGCCCGTAAGGTAAGTTAAACAGAGTGTTTCCCAAAGTGTTTTTCCATTTGTGCAAGACATGCAAGGAACTTCTGTTCTTTATAAGATATAGGGTAGAAAGTGCTAGGTTTTATGGTATCTGTTTATGCTTCTGCACATTGCTGGATTTACGTCACTGTTTTTGTCTTTTCTGATTGATTGGATCTGGGCGTTTTTTATGTACTCCTATTCTGAAGGTTCAGAATCAGTAATAGTCATTTTATATGAAACGGGTTTCAGAGGTTAGCCATGCTGGTCTGCAATAGAGTAGCTAGGTTCAAGTCCAATGGCACCTGAGAGACCAACAAGATTTTCAGAGTATAAGTTTTCAAGAGTCAGTGCTCTCTTCATCAGATACCATCTGCCAAAGGGAGCATTGTCTCTTGAAAGCTTATACCTTGAAAATCTTGTTGGTCTTTCAGGTGCTACTGGACTTGAATCTATATGATATGGAAGAACTCAGAGTTAAGAAACAGAGATGGATCTGAAGTAAGGGCATAGTTTTAGAATATTAGTTTTAAAAATTATATGTATGCCAACTAGTTCTTTTTAAATACAGCCTTGGGAGAGAGGTGTAGGTGATTTTCAGCTGCAGGCAAAGTACTTGTTTTTATCCGCCTCTTCATCTCTTCCATAGAATTAATTTTTAGGCTGCCCTAAGGCAGTTCAGACTTACATAACCAGAGCAATAAACCCAGGAGCATCACTTACATCCAAACTGTACACTTTATCTACCTATATTAAACAGTATGTTCTGCATTAACGTTCCCACTGATTGTAGAAATCTGTGGCATTCAACCTGGTTTTCAGACAGTTTACACTGTAACTGGTTTTGTTGGAAATAAGGTTTGTCCATTCAAATGTTTTGTCCACCCCCCCCTTCACTAATGGCACTGCTTTCTCAAATATCTGGAGAATCAGAGACTGCTGTAATTCATAGTTTACTGGAATTAGCTCTGTGCATCTTTTTATGTGCAAATATCACCATACATTGTTGGGTTTTTTAAAATTTGTTGCTCTCTTTCTTGTTCTGTTCCTGTATTTATTCCTGCGGAAGATTTCTGAATATGGGCATGGTGCTTACTGGTTGTACAAATGTGAATGGACAGTTTACCTTTGAAGAACATATAGTTCCATTTGCTGGAAAGGCAAGACAAATGAAGTTGTTAAGCTAGATTCATGCCTGTATATCTTGGAAGATGATGATGATAATTGATCAACTTCAGAGATCTTTCCTTCAGGCAGCTGAATATTAAACCTGTCTCTTGCTGTTCTCCAAGGCACAAAGCAGAGGTGCAATATGGATCAATATGAATAGAAAATAGTATTTGTAATTGCTACTCTCCATCTCTGGCTTTCTGCCAACAGTCTCTGAAATTCTACAAAGGAGGGTAAAGCAGCATAACTGTGAAGAAACATGCTATTATGCAAATATCCAATTTGTTTTACAAGAAAGATGCTTAAAATTCTATGCTGAGGAGTGAAGGGAAGGGCTCTTCTAAGTCCAAATGTTCTGCCAGGTGATCCCTTTTTCCTTTTTGTTTCATTGTCTTGTGCAGACTGAATTGTCCGAGAATAGCAAGTGAAGATTAAAACAACAACAACAACAAAACTTAGAAGAGAGTTGTTACGTGCAGAGATAGTTGAAATAATTTCCCTCACAAAACCCTATTTTCCTTTTTGGGATGTCTGGCTGATAATGGTGATGATATGAGTAGAAGTATTTATAGTAACTTTTGTCTAGACAGGAAAGATGGTTGGGCAGATGAGCATATGCATCCACATCTGGGCTACTTTACTTTTCCTAAATCCCTCTTTCCTTCCTTACCCCTAGGAAAACTATCTGGATTTTCCACCTGCTACTAAATCTGTCAGGGAATGTTCATGGGTTTTTTAATTTATTTATTTTGCTGTTTCAGTTCAGACCACATTGTGGAGGGATGCAGTGCTCATTCTATCCTATAGGGTACTCTCTCCATAGAGGCTGGGCAAGTTGCACCAGGGGATGCTATTCGACTGGGGGGAAATCTGCCCTGTTCCTCATACTGGGCTTGTACATGTTCGGGACAAAGGGAAGGATTTTGAACCTGTCTCCGTAGTACCATTCACTGTCTTTTCCTTACTATTTCTCATAGGAGTGGCTGGTGCCTATTCATTTCTGTAGAAGAAATTAATCTGTAGAATGATCCACACTAGAGGCTAGCTGGGGATCAAACCATAGACAACTTTTAGGTAACACAAGGGCATGCAATTATACACACCCCCATATGTCATGTTACAGTTGATTTGGGACTGTGAATGGTACAAGAGGCTCCTGGTTTGTTTTAGTGCCTTGGCCCCTGATAAAATGAGTTGATTCCATACAAAAGTCATTTGCCATTAAAGAAAACAAAGAGCTTCCCTAAAGGAGATGCTTGTTTGAGGTATTAGCAGGCAGCAAGGTGCTTGACAAGTCTCAGTTCCCTTGTTCCTGTTTTCAAGAGGTTTCTTACAATCTCTTGAGTTTTCACAATAAGCTTCAGAACCAGCCTGTTAGCTTCTGGTTCTTCCTTACTACAGACTTCTAATGGAATGTGTCTGAACAGTCCACTCTGCTCGATCCAGTTAGCCCCTGTGTAGTCAGCACAACTAAACAGCATTTTATGTAGTTATCACTTTTCCAGATTCTTAAGAACAGACTCCATCTGTAGGGGCTGAGACTTTGAAGGGGAAGATCAGCTATAATATCTTTTTAAGGTGTGGTGACCAGAACTGTACACAATATTCAAAATGAGGCCACACCATAGATTTATACAGGGGCATTATAATACTAGCTGATTTTTTTTCAACCCCCTTTCCTAATAATCCCCAGACTAGCATTTGCCTTTTTTATTGCAGTCGCACATTGAGTCAACATTTTCAGTGAGTTATCTACCATGACTCCAAGATCTGGTCAGTTACTGTCAGTTTAGACCCCATCAATGTATAGTTATAGTTAGGATTTTTTGCTCCAATGTGCATTACTTTGCATTTGCTCACGTTGAACCTTATTTGCCAAGTTGACGCCCACTCACCCAGCCTTGACAGATCCCTCTGGAGCATCTCATAGTCCTCCCTGGTTCTCACCACCCTGTACAACTTAGTATCATCTGCAAATTTAGCCACTTTACTGCTTAATCCCAGATCATTAATGACCTTGTACCAAGCCCTGTGGTACCCCACCACTTACCACCTTTCACTGTGAAAACTGTCAATTTATACTCACTCTCTGTGTCCTGGTAAGTAACCAGTTTTTAATCCATGAGAGGACTTGTCCTCTTATCCCAAGACTGCTTAGTTTACTTAGGAACCTTTGATGAGGAATTTTATCAAAAGCTTTCTGGACGTACAGGTAAACAACATCTACTGGGTCCCCCTTGTCTATGTGTTTGTTCACCCCCTCAAAGAAGACTAAAAGGTTAGTGAGACAAGATCTTCCCTTACAGAATGTATGCTAATTCTTCCTCAAT